AGCAGCAAACAGGAAACAAATAGTTTCCCTGAAAGATATTAGTGACATTGCACACAATACTTTGCATTCTTCTGTTCCACTCCTTGACATGTCAAGTAATGAAGACAAATATCATTAAAATCATTTCAATCAATGAAGACAAATGAGGCCATTTCTATCATCAAAATAAGTGGACTGATTCATACAGAGTCTTAAAATTTTTACCTACCAAATACATATACTTATTCTCTGCATGAGACAATGTTGACTCCAGAATGGAGCAAAGCTGATCTACATAGTATGATTTTATACAGCAGAGAATATTTTGATTACATATTTCCTCACACTTGGGAAAATGGACAAAAAAAAATTCAGTTTTTTTCTATGATCTTAAAAATGTAGGTTGCACTATTCATCAGTGCTTCTCACATGTAAATGTGCATTTGAACCACCTGGGAATCTCATTGAAATGTTGACTTCCATTCAGTTGACTGAAATGGGGCTAGAGATTTTGCAGTATCTAAGCACTTCCAAGGTGATGACCACATTCCTATACCACAGACCACATTTTAAATAGCACAGATTTAATCGATGTAGATGCATCAAACCCAATCAGAAAAGTAAATTGGCTCCATATCACAACAAATATTGAATTTAAAAAGTCTCTCTATATTAAGTATTTCTAGTTGCTGGGGGAAATAACCTCAAATGCACCTTCAGCAAGTTTTAGCCAGTTATTAGAGATAAAAGTAAGCCTAAAAGTTCTAAATACCATAAAATACCAGACCTGACAACTGATGTCATACTTTCTATTAATGCAGAATATATTTCTTCTTCTACATTTTACCATGCACCAGTTCTATTCTAAATGTTTCTGTGTCAAGGAGACTTGAACAACAAATTTTTGGTCTGGTAAGGACAAATCTATTTGTAAAATAGGTCTCAGATAATTACTTTCTCAAATGGTGCAGCTCTCCCATCCATAAAGCACACAATAAGTAGATCGAGCTAAACAGGTAAGAGACCATGAAAACAATAAATTAGTATATTAGAAGACATATAAGCTTATAATCTATTGTTTTATAAAACATAGTGAACAAGTACTTTCACCATTGGTTAGTTTGTCAGTAGAAAAGAATATGGGTCTATGTGTTTATGCCATTGAAACCACTGAAAGCTGAGTCGATGATACTTTCCCCTAAACCTCAGTTTCTTCCTCAATCTCTCCACTTCTCCACTGAGAGAAAAGTGAAAATGTCATAAGAATTAGAGGCTCAGAGAAACAATAGAAGTTAGGGGGAAAATATACACACAGACACATTCATTTACAGAAAAAAAAAAAGGTAATTATCTCTCTGAGCATACCTAGCAAGCTGGCAGCCAAGTGTACAGACTCTAGAATGATAGATGCTTTAAGTCCTAACTTTGCCATTTACTAGTTATGTAACTTTACACCTTTGTTGATAGTGGACACAAGAATGACTCTATCTGCACAGACTTGTTTCAACTAAAAATGTTTTCATTTATCCCTCTAAAATTATCACCTTTTACTCCCAAACCAGTATACCTAGATATAATGTACTCAGTGCAAGTATATGCAATTAATTTCAGTTTTAGCTGACTCCACTATAAAATCAAAATCAAGCATTCATTTTTATTCTGTTGAGGATTACACTGTATAAAAACATAATACCTTTTGTACAACACAATTTTTAAAACAAAGTGGAGTAAATGTTTTTGAAAATGCATGTTATACAAAATTTCATGGCATCATTTCAACCAAGACTAGGTATACTGAAATACAATATTTAAATATGAATAGAGCATTTGGTCAAGCTTAGAAATTACTGACTTGTAAAAGTGGCATGGTGTTTATAGAAAGCAATTGTGTGGTCCTGGAAAACTCAACTGCCTTAAGCAACTTGCTTCTCTTCTCATTAGAAAATGGGAAACAATACTAATAACTACCCCATGGGCATGTTGTTCACTTTAGACATGTTAAAATATAGGAAGTTGTTAGCATAATGTCTAGAACTAATGTTGGCAGGATACTTCACTTCTCTGGGCTTCAGCTTCCTCTTACATAAAATGAAGACATTGGCTGATTATTAAAAAATTCCTTTCAGCTCAAATTCTAAAAATTAAATGAAAAAATACAATGTATTCCTCTCATTCGATAATTGTAAAACAAACCTTAAAACATAAATGTTGCACTCTCTTTTTTTATCTTTTAAGCTCTCTGAAATGAACAGCATGTGCCTAAATATCACATTCTATCCAGAGTTGCCTAAATGAAGGCTTATGCCTATCAATCTTCATCTGTATGTCTAGGAAAGTCTTAGTAATTACTACACAAGATGAATACAAGATGAACCAATTTAGAGGGTATTCACATGATGTGTGTAATAAGAGAAAAGATCAAGGAGAAAGGATGTCCCTTTATAATAAATTACATTCATTTTTCACTTACAATAATCTATGACAATGATTTTCAAATTTACAGGTTATAACAACCTTCTAGACTGCTTTTTAATCTATATTCTCAAACTATAAACCTTGATGTGCTATTGGATGATGCTTCAAAGTGCAGCAGAAGTTGAAGTGAAACCTATATTAATCCATGATTACACTATCATTCAAGTAAAATATGAGCTCTGTGGAGCAATGCAATTAGAAGCCCAAAGGACAGGAAAGTAACAACCAATATATTATGTAATAACAATTATGGCAACCACCACAATAATCAGCTGTGATTCAAGACATACATAAATGAAAACTCTCCAGAATGGTCAATGTAAAAAAGCAACTGAAGTTATAATGCAATAAAAAGTAATTAGATTTCAGGAGGATGCATGATACAATGTTGTCAGGGGACATTAGATTATTTCTAAAGTTAGTATTTTTCGAACTAAGAAGTTTACAGAAAAACTACTTCTGGGGTCATCATCATTTGGTTTTGTTATGAGGACATGTTATATTTTGAGGTCACTCATTATATAGAGATCACCATAATGTCTTTCCAAGATTAATTCAAATTTCTCGTCACTGGTAAATCTTTTGTCTGACCAGTAATGAATAAGTTTTCACATGTATACAGTTCTCTGTATAACAATATTAGTTCATTCCAAGGAAATATTTTTAAGGGGAAAAAAAGACTTAAGTGGATATAGCTATTTTGATTAACCAGGCAGGTACTATGGATACATGATAAAGAAGTAAATGGCAAGATCCCAATCCTTAAGGTGGGGTATAAAATTCAGTTGAGAAGTCCAGTTGAACACACATAACAAAGCAAGAAGACAATAGAAGTGAGGTTATAAGAAATTGACGAATACAAGAACTGATGCAGGAGTTCTAGAAAAGGTGACATTAATAACTGTTGGGTTAGAATTGGAAGGCACTTTTGGAAATGTATAATTTGAACAGAGCTTCAAATGTGGGTAAAATTTAAATCATGAGCGGTCACCCTAAGTGAAGTGAATGATAGTGCTGCGAGGAGAAAAGTTATGTAGGTGATTGTTCAGGAACCAGTTAGGAGAGATGTGCATGGAAGAATAAAGTAAAGTCAAGTTGCTGTAGAGAATGAGACTAGATTACAAAGTGTGTTGAAATCCAGATGGGATTTGGAACAATAGAAAATAGAGAAATAATATTTTGATTAGATAAAATGATAATGAAAGGTATTCACAGACCAGGTGGTATAAATTAAGGATTGAAGGCTTAAGTAAAGGCTAGCTAGAAAGCTCTTTTAGTGACTGGAGGGGCAGTGATGAGAGTTTAGGGTGCAGGCAAGGGAAGAATTGTGTGAGAGGGCTTTCAAAAAATTTTGCCAAGATTAGATAATGTTTTAATGATGAAAATGGAGTAAAATCCAGATTCCTCTATGACATAGGAATCCATGAGCAGATTGTGGAGGAAAATTTAAAAACTTACTGAAAAATTTCCCCACCAAGGACACACAGAGAAGTTTTGTCTCACAGTCACTGAATAACATAAGCCTTCTCAACAAAGGGATATTAGATAAGATCTCTCAAAATACAATTTGACTTCAGTGGTTCTGCAGAAAGAAAAGGAAGAAAAGGAACATCTTGAACGTGAAACAGGGACTAAGAGATGGAGGCAAGAAGAAAAAAAGGAAAGGAAAATTCCTTTCTCTGAGTCTTCACAATGGTGTTCATTTTGAGTCTCTTCGAAGTTTAATGTTCAAAATCACTGATTGTCACTCCAAATTAGAGCTCCTTGAAGATCCAGCCTTTAGGTGGATTTACTGGAATGATTAGTGTTTTTCCCCTCCAGTATCTCATCTGAGAACAGTCTATTCCACAAATTCTTATCCAAATTTTCTGTCATTTCAAGCCAAATATTTGGAGATTAAGAAAAAGCTTTCTTAAATGCACCAGGTTCCTTTTGCTGCTGCATAAATTAGGTAGGTCAGATTTAAAGTAAATGACAGATGCCTACACATCAACTGACCCTTGAAACATGTCAAGATCAACTCCCTATCCCCATATTCAACCCAGACAGGGTTCAGCCCCACCCCCTTCAGCAAAACGGAAAAAAAGGCTGCGCAAGCTCCGTGCCTAAACTCTCCTTGAACCCCCACCAAGGTGCTAACGCGCAGGCGCAACGCCTTCCAAGTGTTTTGAGTAGGGGTGTGAGAAATCTACTCTCCAGTAAAATCTGGAACTGGTAGATATCAACCTTCTCCTTTCTTTGGAAGCAGAGGCGCCACTTGCTCCTACTACCGTGCCAGAAGTGCGCCTCAAAACTCTCCCTTTGGAGCAATGTCCTGCGTTCTCTGGCAATACCCACTGTATTCCAATCCTCAGCTCCTTTCTAGCCTCACAGTGCTGCTAACCTTTCCTGGAAGGGTAAAGGCAGTTGGCTCCCCACGAGCAGCACCAGATTATTGGCTGCCTCTTTAGTCTACAGAACCTACGGGCCTCTGCTGGGCACAGCATTATGCTAATGCCTTGCCTGCCCTTCTTCGCCCTTCACACCCACCCAGGTTAAATTCTTACCTCGGGCGTGATGTGGTCACGGAAGGGATCAGAGGATCCCAGATAGGATCAGAGGATCCCAGACGAGGCCAGTGCTGGGGCAGTAGGATTCAGAGAGATTTTTCCTAGATCTCCACTGCCGCCTCAGACAATGAAATCAGCGTGTCTGATCATCAATTCTCATCTTGATCGTGACGTCACAAAAGACAGCGGCCAATGAGAACCCGAGATCAGCTCGGACAGTCCCAGGCTTCAGCCCAGAACCCAAGAGTGGGAGGGGGAGGTGACATGGCTGCCTTCAGTGGGGCTGCCTCTTTCTGGTACTTAACAGCTGAATCTATGGCCAGCACCCTCCCTCTCTCTCCCTCTCTCGCGCTCGCTGTGATCCCTGTGAACATCCAGCACCCCTCTGACTACAGTAGTTATGTGACAGCTATTTGAGCAGGTGCTGCCTGCCGGATCTTCTAACTTGAGATTCACTTTCAGCAAATTGTCCCACACTGACAATAGCAAGAGATAGCATTAAAAAATACAGTCAGATCAGTGTTTTGACAGGTATATATTCAGCTTTATTAAAACCAAAAAGGTGCCCATCTAGCCTTTGGAATTTTTCTATAAGAATGCATTGCTATATATGTCTGGTTGATTTCAGCGTCTGACACAAGAAATTATGGGTTCTCTTCACCTAACTTTAACCCTTATTCTTCCAGAAGTTACTTGGGTGATTGTCATTACAGGAAAAAGGACAAGCTACATGTTCTATCACCCAACACTTGATATACTTCCCAAATTCTCTGGATACCACAGAGATGTAGAATCCACTGATTCTGTGCTATTTTATCATTTGGAAGAAAAGATTAGCACACAGTAATCATTCACAATAAAATTATATGATAATATATTCAAGAACTACATTAATTTATGACTAGAGACATCAGTAAAATGGGAAAGATGAGGAACAATTTTATGCTAAAATTGAAATTTGACTAATCTATAAGAGAGGATAAAAGGTACCCTCTTAAAGGGAAGAGATAGGCAAAGATAGAGAAGTACAAATGTATATGATGTAAGTAAGTTCATGATGAAACTCCCTTGGAAAAAAAGACCATATGCTGAAGACCAGTAGAAGATAAGATAGGCTGATAATAAAAACCTTTGAAAATAGGGAGAGAATTATGATTAGAATAAAAGCCACAAAAAGCCTTAGGGTAAGGGTCTTCAATCCTTTATAATCAAATATTAACAAAACAGCTTTGATAATTTTTTTGAAATAAAAGTCAGATCTGCTGGACTCCAGATTGCCCAATAGTTTCCATTCTTATATATTATAAAATAGAACTTTCTTACCATGTTGCCAAGGCCTTAAATGATCTGGATTTGCCATGTTTCTGACTTCATCTAATACCACTCTACCACTATATAAATTTCTATTTATATTAGACTTATTCCCATTTCTCAAATCAGCCAAACTCATGTTCACATGAGAAACCTTGTACTATAATGCCCTGTAATCTTTGTATGCCTTATTCTTTCACTTGATTCAAGTATCTGGTCAAATATAACCTCCTTAAAGAGGCACCTATTTAAAATTTTTATTTTCTTAATGGCACCTACTTAACATTTTGATGATCTTAACATTCCATACGTCCCCTTTACTATTTTATTTTTCTTCATAGCACTTATCATCAAGTGTAATTTATATTTTAGTTAGTACTTATTATCAAGTGTAACCTATATTTTTAGTTATTATATTTTTAGTTACTGGGTGTATTTATAACAACTGCAGTCCAAAGGAAGTTGTTTCTTTTTAACTGTTTCACTTATTATATGTCATCTAGAAAAATACTAGACATAATGTACACACAAATAAGTAAGTACATTTTTGGTACTAGGGATTAAACCCAGGGTCTTCACACTGAACTATATCTCCAGCTATTTAATATTTTTTATTTTGATACAGGGTCTTGCTATGTCACTATTGTTCCCAAGCTAGACTCAAACTTAATCTTCCTGCTTTAGCCTTCCAGAGTATTGGGATTGTAGGCATGTGAAATCATCCATAGCTCAATAAGTATGTCTTGAATGAATGACTGAAATTTTTTTTATTAAATTCTTTTATTGGTACATTTTAGGTATACAACACAATTACAGTTCTCATTGGGAATTGTACCTTTACATAATGCATCTTGGTTCTTATTTTTTCCCCATTCCTAGCCC